CTTCTCCAAGGCTTAGTCCTAGGGCGATCTCTAGTCGTATGTGCTCTAGCCATCGCGGTAGGACCATTGAGGAAAAATCAAGTAGTCCGTAAACCAGGTTACAGATTAGGTAAAGCAGAGAAAAGAACCAGGGACGTTTCTTTCTCTGCTCTACCTGATGTATTTGTTGAGCTGAAGCGTTACGAGGTCCTATACTTTAACTTCGAACGAAAGCTCCAGTAAGAGACGATGTTTTGATGTAGGGGATAAGGGTACGTGATTACGACCCCGTCCTTGCTGTTACTTTTGGTATGGCGTTTGCTTCCGGCGCTTTGCAACTCGGCCGCTCGCCGTTGACGAACTCGCGCAAGGATCTATCGATACGACTTTATCTTGCAGTTTGGCAGTGATCTGCCTGGCTAGCGACAAATATTTGTGGTGGTGGAGCAGGAGTAACCTTCTTTTATACTTTTCTTTCTGCTCTCTGAACGGACGACAGCCGCATGATGTCCCTCTCTCTGCCAATCTCTCTGTCTCTTTCTTGCTTATAATTCATGTAATTTGTGCGGATCTTCCTTCCACCCACTATCTCTGGGCACGGCAGCAGACTCGTCGTCGCAGTCGTGTATGACAGAGGTCAAAACTGCACCTTTGCTGTAAAGCGTAAACAAAGCGTAAAGAGTGCAAAGCGTTTACGCTTGGCTATCTTTTTTGGGATTTTTGTCGCTATATTTGTTCATTTCTTTAGTCGAGCTTTTAGTAAGATTCATCAGTATTCCTGTGTTCGCTATACTTCACTTTTAGCAATCGATTCAATGCTTCGAGGAACAATTTCATGCGTTGCGTGCACTTGTTGCTCAAGAGCAGTGCGCTGTATTAGGGAAGAAAGTGAAGCCGGTAGGTCTCATTTTCTATTAACCTCTTGCTATGGCGAGTCTTGCTTAAACGCAGCAGTTTTTATACAGTTTTTGTCTACGCAGAATGGGGTTAAATCGAACTTGCCGAATTTGTGCTCATTAACTGAGCAAGCTCTTGAAAAAGACATAAGCAAACCAATGCAGGACACTCACACCTGTACGGTTGGTAAGAAGATGGGTAGTGGTTCAGATCAGTTTACTCCTTCGTCTAACTTCCACTCCTATAGAAGAGTCTATTTTCGACCATTGCGACCTCTGATTTTTCCTTTACAAGTTTGGAGGTCGTCTGGCCAAATGGTGCACTTTCACTGTACGTCTCGAGGCTCAACATCTCGTATTAATATCTCCAAAGCCAGCTAAATGCCTCCATCATATCCAGTCGGTCAATTGTAACAGCTTGGCGGAATAGAAACAACTATGAACCATCAAACGCTGTAATTCATTGTGTGACTGCGGCCCGCCGCCGGCACTCAAATAACTTCGCGATTTTGAATAACAAAATAATGCCATGGTGGGCCATCAAATGATCGTCTAATGCGAGAGTCCATTAAGGAAGTTATCATTCAAGTTCTAGGAGGAATATATTATTAGCCTGAGCACACTTCTTGTTTGCAACATTACATATTTTTCACCTCGATTTTTTTTTTTCTTTTTCATTTCTAAAGGATAGCGCTACTGGTGTGGTAGTTTTTGGGATATGTGCGCCGGTAGACCATTTTTCCCCATTTGAATGTGCTTTGTTACATAATGGAATGTAGAGATTTTTGTATGTTCCCTCCTTTCCAGCGCCCACCGTCAATAATGTGCGAAACGTTCGCAATGCGTTTGCGATTTTGCCCGTTTGGAAACCACGGTTGGATAGGCGAAACTATACAGCCAGCTGAAAAAAAAACTTTTTGAAAATTCTAATAGGTGAAAGTCACTTGAAGGTATTAATTCTTAACGGCGGCTCTTGCTAAAACTATGGAATTTTGATAGGTAATATCATTCACATTCTTAATATCTCTCAGATTGGTTATTCGTCCATACGAACAGTCTGTTATCGCTTATCAATTTCACAACTGGAACGCATCCAGAAACTATCGCGATCCTATCGTTACGAATGGATGAAGGATACTACAAAGTCGAGCAGATTCATGGTAAGCACAGATTTTATTTTATTTCTAGCATAGTCAACATCATCAGCTTACTAATAAGAGATTAGTCCCCTCCGGTGTATGACCAAGCGACCACTAATCATCGGCACTCTACGATTACTCATTTTCTGCTCATTTTTCATGATCGGAAGTAATTTTGAAAAGTTGGTCTTTATAGTAAAGTTAGTCTGAATTGCCTACTTGACTGATTTAATCATTGCGAATACTGCATCAGCTTTGGCGCGAAAGCATCTGGCATTGAGAAGGTACTGAAAATTGTCTAGTGGAGAATTTGACTTAAAGAATATGAGGATCATACTCTTTCCCGTGAGAATGTCTAGAACTGGCTCTACAGGCACTTGCGATAACCGATAGTGATACGCTGGCGCCTGTACGCGGCGTCTAGCCCCTCTCCCAAGTGCATGATATTGGTTGTACGACTCAGACCACACTTGGAGACAAGTAGCTAGATTTAACAAGGAAGAGAAAAGTTCGAGGAAACTGCTTGATCCTGGGAAATGAGAACGTTGAAGGGTGAATAATGCCGTGATTTTCATAGTAAGAGTGACTCTTAACTGCGCTTTCTGCGCTTTTCATAATAATTGCTGGGTTATAGGCGACACACTGGTAGTATCTGACCCTCAAATGAACTGAGATTTTCAGTGCGTCATTTTCAGAACACTGTTTCGCAATACCTTTTTCCATCTCGGTTATGTGGGAACACAAGTGATGACGAGGATTCACCTGAAATGGTGGGGACTTCGACTTTTTCTTTATTTTATTATTCGTCAAAACACCATCATACTCCTTTGATCATCAGTTTTATTGAACGGTCGACTATATGTCAGCCATCAGGTTCCTTTTTGAAACGTCTGTAGACAAGAGTAGTGGTTCTGATGTAATTTAGTCGAGTCATAGTTAATTTCCCAGCAAAACGGTCATTCACCATGAAAAAGTAATGAAGCTTTTGCTAGGCAGAAACCGTAGCATAGTCGTTAAGCTTCCCTTCAAATCTGAGTTTTTCACTTTTTTTCTTCCCTCAGACCGCCGTCACAATCGGTGACGGACAAGCGATGGAGCGATCGCGATCGCTTGTCCGTCGCCGAGTGTGAAGGCGGTCTCATTGCACATTTCCTACTGAACCTTCCAATCTGTTTATCCCCTAATATGTTTATCCCCTAATTTCTCAACGTAAGTGGTAACTTTGGCGTTCAGGTGGCTCAGAGGACTATAGAGAAGGACATGATCAAGGAAGCTCTTTCTGACTATTCCTTGTACAGTCATCTGTTGTATAGGTTTGCTGCTGTTCTCTTATGTATCATTTCTTCTCGATTGCTTTAACTTACTTTTGCTTCAGAGACTGGCGGTTCCCTCTTTGCACGTCCTTGGGCGAGCACGTTAGCTGTAAGTTTGCAGTGTCTGTGTGGATACGGTACTACTAAAAGGATATGGTTAAAGGTCCCTGGCATGCGGCTATGATGTGGTCCGAGTCGACAATGTTGGCCACACGGCAGCTGTCACGTTTCCTATCAGGGAAGATGAGTGGATTTGCGTTTTCACAGCCGAATTTGTTCAAGAAGATGGTCGAGAAATTACCCGCAGGTAGATCGATGTGATTTCGCCCGACTCTAGTTGTACGTCGAGTTGCTCCTGCGAGACACAGCGACTATTATTTCAGATTTCACCTTGGTACATTTGGCATTATCTCATGACGGTTCTTTGCACCTAATCAAGTTGCACCAAGATCGCGAGCCTATAATCGTACCCCTTGCGCCGAAGTCGAAGGTATTCCTATAGGATGCTCGCTTCTTGTACGCATACATAAATGTATATTTATAAAATGATCCAGGTGGAGACGGTTAAAACTATGATGGATAAGTTAATCGAAGAAAACTCAAGAACATGCTGTTTGGGGAAGGTCACAAGTGACGCGAAAGCATTCTGGGTGGCAAGACGAGCGGTCGATGCTGAATTGAAGGTAAGGGTAATAGACTGAATTAAAATTGCTTGCTCGTTTTCATCCTTCCATCTCACTTTTTCAGGCGATCATTCCTCGTGTACAGGACATTCTACTTGGACCAGCTGCTCCTCTTCTGCTTCCTTCAAAGAGCCTCAATCGTAGTGGAGTTACTGTTGCCAAGTCGCTCGTTTCTGCTTCTCAGTCGCCGTCTGGTGGGCAACTGCCATTATCTTTTGCCAAGGTGAGAAGATAGTCAAGTTTTTGCGTTG